AGGTTTTTTTGTGATTTTCAACATGATTTTACCATCGGATTTATTATCAGGAGCCGAGTGGAACTCGACGGCGCTCGAGTAAACAATTTTCTTAGACGGTTTTCCCTCCAAGATTGTGGAGCTTTTCTTAGTGGGCAAATTTTTACGCTGGTCAGTAGGTTGTGCTGAGCTAGAGGAAAGCCCTGTTGAATTAAAAAATATATAGAAATTAAAAATACAAATATTGCAAATGTGTTTCGNGCCAGTATTAAATACAACAGAATCACTGATATTTGTATACATTTATTAAAAATAATTTTAGTAACAAATGAATTATTAAGTTAAAAACAAACTTAAGGTATAGAAAATCAATAAATATTACATGATTAGTATAAAAAATTATTGGAAAAAAAAGTAAGAGACAATATATGTAACAAATAAAAAAATTAGAATATCTCAAATATTAAGTAAAAAAAAATATGAATAATATTAATTTAATATACAATTAATTTATAAAAATATAAATGAGAATATTAAAATTGTAGTCAGACCTTAGAAATTAAAAATTATTTATCCGAAGAAGGTTTTTTTGTGATTTTCAACATGATTTTACCATCAGATTTATTATCAGGAGCCGAGAGGAACTCGACGGCGCTCGAGTAAACAATTTTCTTAGACGGTTTTCCCTCCAAGATTGTGGAGCTTTTCTTAGTGGGCAAATTTTTACGCTGGTCAGTAGGTTGTGCTGAGCTAGAGGAAAGCCCTGTTGAATTAAAAAATATATAGAAATTAAAAATACAAATATTGCAAATGTGTTTCGTAGCAAATAAATCAAAATTATACCATTATAATCGTTTTTGTAATCTTGCGAGATCTGCGATTCATTTACCGAATCTGACGCCGAAGAAATGGCCTTTGGGATTGTTCTTTTTTTAGATCCATCCGCACTAGGGCTTAACTCGACAGAGCTCGAGTATTTAGGTCTCTTAGAAGACCCATTGTCGTCGAAAGCGTTTGGTCTTTTCGACGAGCATGAATTTTTAGAAGGTTCCTTCGGAATTCCCGACTTAGATCTAAGCTTTTTCGTACTTGATCTTGGCTGGGGTCCGACTGCGTCCTTTTCATTACCATCGACGGCGACTTTTTTCTTTGGAGATGATTTGTTAATATGTGTCGAAGTAGATTTAACAGGAACGCCGTGTGGATTCTTCATTTGCGGTTTTTCTGATACAGATTTTGTTGACGAACATTTTGGATTGGCCTTTGATAAACTCTTACTAGTGGACACAATAGCAGACATGTTATTATTACAGTTGTGTATATGGACGAAAGATGGCGTTATAAACGGATAAGTAGGATTTTCACGTAAACGCTTGAGTTGAGCAAATAACCTCTGAGTCTTCGTTTTCATCGTTATGGATTATTTAAAAAATTATTTAAAAACTTAAAGATTTGCACGATGTTGAATTTGAGAACAATTAAGAAGATAGACACTTTAAATTAAAAATTTTTAAAGAAGTAATTGTATTCGTAAAATTTGTCTGCTTATATAAGAAAAAAAAAGTGTATCCGTAGTAACTATTAACAAGTTTCTTATAAGCTAACTTATATATTCTACGTTAAACTACAAAAATTGTTTAATTTCGTTAGTAACATATATCAACCAGCACAGAATAAGTTGCGAAACTATTAGTTTTACTATGATGTTTTAATTTTTTTAATTATTTGTATCTCTGGCCATTCATTTTCAGATCACAAATTAAATCTAGCCAAGCATATTGGGAATATAACGATAGACCTACAATTTTAGATATTGTGTAATTATAATTTAATAATTCATTTTTTTTATAATTATTATCAGACGAGCACTATTATATCCAACCGACCAATACTATACATTATTTTATAATAGTTAAGTTTTATATAATAACAAATAATTTTTCTGGGATTAAATTATTTTTTTTTAAGGGGGAAGGGAACGGTAAAACAGTTAATGTTTGTTTCTTATTAAGGTTTTATAAATTACAATTAGTCAATTTATAAAGAAAATAAAAATAAAATAAAATAATAATAAACCTTGGAATATCAAAACCTAATTATATAAAAACTATTTGAGTGCTGTTACTTAAGGCTTTTTTTTATATTTTTGTTTTTGCTTTAATTTTATTTTACAGGGATAGAGATTGATTTGCTAAGTCAGCTCTATTGGTAATCTATACAATACTACTATTCTCCATTCGTTATTTTTAACTCTTTTACACGTTTTCTGTTCATCCTCATCATTTCGCTTAATCAATTATGTTGATACATGTCGCAAGATACTGAATCACTAGATAGTGATAATTCTAATGGAGAACTTTACGAACCACAGGGTAATACGCCTATCGGTCGGGCAACAGATTCCGTCGCGAAAACCAAAGGCACTCTTACGCGTTCCGACGCTCTTTTGCTAAAAGCTCGCAAGTATCTGGACGCGAATCGTTCAAAGAGAGGTCCGTCTTTACCGTCGCTAGCGAACGACCTACATGGTGGACCTGATGTTGAGGAGCCGGGAGTCGTGGAGGCTCGTCCAGGCGTTTGCCGAATCCGTCTTGTTAAAAAAGGAGGAAGCGGAACGCCTGAGACAGAGGCAGCCACGCCGCCCGGCACAGAAGAACCTGAGGCGCTGGTTTAGGCCAGTGGGCCAAAGAGTCCCGCTCCTAGGCCCATGCCTCACACCGGAAGAGGGTGTGCAGAGCGCTATCAGCCTCTTCCGGGCGATCGAACAGTGGTCGTACGTCAACGCGGCTGCTTTATGAATACGGTCTAAGTACTCGTTAAAGCAGCCGTGGCCGGACATCACTTGGGTGCCCAGCCGATCGGGTCCTATGAGAAACCTCGCCTCTCGTCGTTTCCTCCGCCACCGGAGCATGGTCATCCGCCTGAGCGCCAGCTGGTCCTCGGGTTCGAGGAACCGACCGCATTCTCGGCGGAGCTCATGCCTGGCAGCGCGTTCCTGGGCAAGCACGTCAGCGGGCGGCAGTGACGACAGGATACCCGCCGCCACTCCGGACACCATTAGGTATTCGTCCATAAAAGCTTATTTCACGACTACCCTGTGTATCTACAGAATTAACAAGCGTTTGGGAGGCTCGCTGTCCGCGACCGCTTATTCGTTAGCCCAAATAAATAGACTGCTCATTTCGCGGCTAACCTACATATCTGTAGGTCATTCCTCTATCCGCAACCTGAGGACGCGCCCAATTCCCCAAGCAAGGGAAACTGCGCTCGTGTCGACGTTTCGTAGCCCCGTAGAGCCCGATCACACCGACACTGTAGCGCTGCGAAACGGGACCAAAATACAGTTTGAAAATCAGGAAAACACGTTTTTTAATCAGCTCAACTCAACCCAACTCTATTGCTTAAAGTACGACCTAATTTTTTAGGATTGTCAAGAAGTATTCCATACTTGCTAACTAAATCTCTAGATAATCTAACCAAATATTCAGACGTATTAAATTCTTTAGATATTTTTTCTCTCGACCAAGATGGAGGTAAGAAGCTTAAAATCTTAATTTTTTGGTCAGAAGTAGACGAAATAAACTTTATTTTTAATTTTTCAATTAGCATTTCATATTCTGATGTTTTATTTTCATAAGAATATCCAGGAATACAATTTTCTAGATCACATTTAAAACCTAATGAAACATGGACAACTTTTTTTTGTACAGCTAAACATCTTTTTTGGGGGATAAACCTTTTAATTTTTGAAAGAGGATAAAAATCAAAAGCTTTAAAAATCGTGTCAACCCTTTCCATTTGGGATTCTTCACAGTCGACAGTGTCATCAGTACTATTACATTTATAAGTATCCTCCATTAAACGCAAATCTTTACATACATTATTTACATTTTTAAAACAAGAAGAGCTCAATGATTTTTCTGGAGTTAATTCAATATTAAAGTTTTTTTATTTATCTATTAGTTCAATATTGCTTTCACTCAAACCTTTTTTTATGATTTTTTTGTGGGATTTAAAAGGATTGCAACATGTTTTACCAAATAAATGATTATACTTGTATAAATATTATATTTTATAGTACTCATAATGGACTTAAAATGACAACTTTTTTACAAATAATTAACTTTTTCAACTTAACTTATGAAAATGTTCCGAAAAATCTGACAATTTTATATATATCTAAAATTAAATCTAATGTAATATACTTTATCATGGAAAAAAACATTTCGGTTTTGTTTTCATGGTGAAAATGGCTACCAAATGCTATTTTTGTGTGAAAATTCTCGATTTTCTATTTTACATTTCTTTAACTTTATAATGCTGTAACTTTTTGAAAGATGAGTGTATTTTTCAACACAATATTGTTATGAGAAATAATATTTATATCCCATTTTCATTCGACTTACATTATCTTAATCAGGATATTAATAAGGAAATAGCAGATCATGTAACTCTTAGAATAATCCACCAATATTCTTGAACAAATATGCTCAAATCATTAATTATTTATAAAAACTTATTGGTAAACTAGTAATTTCACATTTTGATTTTTGTACAATTATATATGTTTTAGTAAGTTTTAAATACAAAAACTAATTAAAATCAATAGTACTAGCTAATCTATCATTTTATTTTTTCACAGTCGTGAATTATATTTGAACAATAAAAAATATGTTAGGTGTAATTTTGTTTATTATTTTATTATAATATAGTTTAGAGAATCCAACAAATATAATATTTGTAACTCAACAAATATGCTCAAATCAATTATTATTTATAAAAAATTATTGGTAAATTAGAAGAAAATATCTATATGTGAATGAACGAAGTTTAGAACTCCTTTGTCTATAAATTATAATTATCTAGCCTAAAACAATTCTATTGATTCCACACTGAGTTTTTCACAGCTCCCTTATGCTTCATATTAATAGGAACAACTTTACATAACTTATTTAACTAAGTACAAGTAAGGATTATCTATTCATGTCTTTACAGATAATTGAAATAAAACCAATTTGATATACTGATATGAGAAATTTTATTTTGGAAATAAAATCATTATATAATGTATAACAATTTTAATTAAGAAATTTATATAAATTGATTTTTTTGCTGAAAATATTATAATATTATTGAATTAATGTTTTTCATATATTTTGAAAATGTTTAAAGTGGAACTGATTCAAGGCTGGCGGAATTCAATGGTACTGAACCTTTAGTTTGATCATCATCTAAAAAAAATAAATGACAAATTTTTAATAAAATTAAATTTATTATTTTAAATTCGATTCTTTCTTTTTAATAAATTAACTTTTTATTTCTGAAGCAAAATATAAGACCAAAAAATTTGTTTCATAATAATGTTAAAATTGGTTTAAAAAGTACATTTTTTTATATAAAAAACATACGAGAATTCAGAGATTTAGCTAAAATAATAATTACGCTATTTTTGAAATTGATTGAATTAAAATAAATAATTACCATCAAGATTAGCACTGCCGTCACCATTGGTATTGTTTCTTTCGTTTACCAAAGGTTTACTTTCATTCTTATCTGTTAGATTATATTTTATTGAATTATTAGCATTTTCATCTAATCTTAGATTTGGAGGAGCTAATTTTTAAACTTTTAAAGAAATTAAATATTTTATAAAACTCTCACAATACAAGAATTTTATAAAAAATAGTTTATAAATGCTTATAATATATTTGCACTATAGTATTATATTAGGGGAAAAATCTTAAAATATATTATTACTCTTATGTACAAATAAAGTTAATTACTAACTACATTTAATTAATTATTTTAATTATTTATGTGTAAACATTTCACGTAATTTTATTTAAAATTATATTCTCAAATTGTTAATTTTTAATTATGTCTAAATCATTTTTATCTTACGCAGAGATGAAGCTGAGACAATCGAAAAGGAAACGATGCACATAACAAAACACATAACAAAAATGATGTTGAAGTATTTCATTTTGAATTTTCTGTAAATTTATATAAGAACTATATTATATATGCAAATATTTATTGTTTCATTATTTCAATTAATTTTGTTTCATATAATAATTAATAATTATGTATGATTATATTTGCACTTATTTAGGGCCGAAGTTTATAGAGATATTTGACAAAAATATTCATTAGACAATGTCTACATATAGATATTTGTAGACATAAAAATTTACACTTTCGTTGGTAATCATATTTAAATACATAGAAAATTAATATACTTATAATCAATAGGTAATAAGTAATTATAAATGATTATAGATCGTTTACTTAGAAAATTAATCATTCATTTATATATTTTTAAATTAACATTTAAGTATTATATTTAATCTAGCTACTAACGCAACTTATCATGACAAATATTCTGAAGCGTAAAAGATAGTACTAAAGTATTTTATTTACCTCCTAGAAAGAAATAGTCAATAATATATTACTTACTCGTTGGAAACGATGGAATTATTTATGAATAATGTTGCGAAATACACTAATCATAAGTTAAAAAATATTCTGCTTTATATATTATTCTTCATAGAATATTTCATTATATTATTATTTATAAAAATAACATTAGGAACACTTGTTTAAATCCTTTATTCATATTTTACAAGATTTATTGAATAAAATCGCATAAATTATCGTTGAATACTACTCAAAGTAATTATAAAACTACGTCATTTAAATTTAAAAGAACGCCTTACCATTTATCACGTGATAGTAAACTTGANTTTTCTCATTACGTATATAAAACTACGTCATTTAAATTTAAAAGAACGCCTTACCAATTATAACGTGATAGTAAACTTGAATTTAAATTAAATAATTTATATTTACAGCAATTAGCAGTTATTATATTTTTAATTAATTGACCCATTTAGTTATAAGTTCAATATACAAATAAATTACAAAATCGCCAATTATCTATACAGATACTAGCACATAATTTTGTATTTTAAATATAGGTCTACAGAGCTATTATTTTTACTCTACCTGGTAGTATAGCAATAGAAATAGTGAAATGATATCCAAGAACAAATCTTGAGAGGAGCATTTAAATGGAACATCTAACCCAATGGCAGCTAATTTTTTTATTAAAAGACTTACACTAAACGCATCCCTATGTTGAGTGCTATGAGGTACAATTTCAGTGTCTGTAATTCTCAACATCATAAAAAATAATTTTACAGTTCAAAATAATCAGAATTTTATTTAACATAAAAATAAACAAATTTTTAAAACAAAAATTTATCACCCTAAATAAATATATCCAATTATATTAGGCACGTATTTAAAAAAAAACTTCAGAACAGATTATGTATTTATTAATCTGATAGTGTCATGTTATCATTATTGTATAATTATTACTATTATTATATACAATATAATTGTAAACAAATATAAAAAAATATAAATATCTCTATATTCATCAGTCACAGTATATATATACTATAAAAGAGACCGTTCTCTTAATTTGTAAATTTTTTAAAACTTATGGCAGTTTTAAGAAAAAAAATAGGTTAATGTAATGTCGATTTACCGACATTAATGTTGTTAGATAAACGATTTTTAAAATCTTCAAGCGTGTGAAAAATTCTCAATTTTTGAGAGTAATGTTTTTGATATAATACAACTTGTGATCTATTTACGAATCGTTGAAAAAAATCGGTTCGATGAGAGCCGAGAAGAGACAAAAAAAAAAAGAAATCGTTGTAAAATTAATACCATCTCATCAAAGCTAAAGAATTTCAAAATTATTTCTACGTGCAATGAGCCGGTTATGATAAATGTATCATTCTTTATTGACAGAAAAAGTGGCGTAGTTACGATAACTTATATCCTTAGATATTTAGGACACATTTCTCTTCCTACCCACGTATAAAAATTTGAATAACATTTGATGTTTTGGTTTAAGAATTATTATAAGCTACAAGGGATGATATTATAATAATTAATAGAGTTCGTCAACGATATATTTTTAGATATCATTATCGTACTAAATTTTAGTGATATTATATCGAAAAGTTGAAAAAAAAAATTGTTCCCGATATTGCGATATGTCGATATCATACTGAAAAATAAATTTATTTCGAAAAAAAATTATATTTAAAAATTAAATTTTAATTTTAAATGTTTTCACCATAATTTCTTTTTTCAAAATACCCTTAAGTTCCCATTGTCGTAAAATTCAGCCTGTGGTATACCAACTAAATCAGATAATGATCAGGTAAATTGTTACAAACAATGAGAAAAATTGAAACCCGATTCCTTAATTACTGAAGACCCTCCTATATATTGTTTATATTAAATGGATGAAATTTTTCATTATTAAATAATTTTATTATGGTTTTAGTATTTTGGTGTTAAATAATAATAAAAAATAAAAGATTACAAGTACTGTTAAAATTTTTTTTATTCCATGGTCATACTGAAAACAAATTTTCTTCTTTCCAAAAATAAATTTTAACTTTTACAGAATAAAACATGTTAACCCACAGAACCTTCATCACTATCATTTAATAGGAATATTATTTTTTTTGGCTTATTAATTTCATTTAATTATTCAGATCGACTTTAACCAGTTGTTGCTGTGTATCTTCTAATATCAAAATTTCTTTATCTATTTCTCCTACAATACTTTGTTCGTGTTTTGTTAAATATAGGAATAACAAAATATCATAATAAAAAACCTAATCTGAGATTAGAACTTTGTATCAATAAGTATAATTTTTTGTCTTATCTCAATTCTATATATAATAATACATTTGAATAAAAAAAATATAAACAAGATTATCACAAATTGTTTTTGGCCTAATATCAAATAATATTTTTTTTATTATACAGTGACTAAAATTCAAACAGTTTTATTTTATTTAATATTGTTTTTCGATTAGGTTATTTATGAATTACGATAAATCACAAATGTCATATTGAAATTAGAAAATTTGAAATAATAATAATTTAAATAATGTTTATTTTAGATTAAATATCATGTGATACAAAGCAAGAAAATTTTAAAATAAATGAAAACTTAAAATAATTAATTTTCAATTCTTATTTATCAATTATGACACGAGTTTTAACGGTCATCGATGATAGGTGGGGGATTAAGTCACCTAGTGAACCTCCAACCTAACTTCTGAAAGAGACACGTATCAACAATATAAAAATATTATAGATTTATTGAATTTACTTGGTATATTTATTATTATTGATGATTACTTGATTTTCCTGTATGCCTACTTAATCTATGTACTCATAAAATTTAATTCTAAACATTATATATTTTTGTTGAAATTATAAGTTTCCTTCCATGATATTTTCTCTGACACTCTTAAATAAATCGATGTTGTATTTTTTTATACAAATATAATTGTGAAGACGGTGGATCACTTCTTGCATATATTTCGTTATGTGGATTGATCAAGTAGTGAGTGCCTCTATGAATATATGACCGCATCTGTTTCGGGATGCTCCTTATTTTAGGCTTTATATTAAATTTGATCGTGGTTCAAAGTCAAGAAGTGATCACTAACGTCACCATTATTTCTTTATTAATCGTAATTTATTACATTTTCAACAATAATGATCTCTATATTATAAAATACTACTATAAAATAATACTATCTAATATAATATTTTAGACATAGTATATTACCCTACATCTTATGTGCTACCATTACATATTGTTATTATTTCCTGTTTGTTTTATATAATTAATATATTCTTTTTTCTACGAAATTTCATTAGTATATTTAAATATTTAAAAGTGCTGTTAACATTTTTTTTATTCCATGGTCATACTGAAAACAAATTTTCTTCTTTACAATAATAAAATTTTAACTTTTACAGAATAAAACATGTTAACCCACATAACCTTCATCACTATCATTTAATAGGAATTTTTTTTTTTTGGCTTATTAATTTCATTTAATTGTTCAGATCGACTTTTAACCAGTTGTTGCTGTATATCTTCTAATTTAAAAATGTCTTAATCTAATTCTTCTCCTGCAATACTTTCGTGTTTTGTTAAATATAGGAATAACAAAATACCATGATAAAAAACCTAATCTGAGAATAGAACTTTGTATCAATAAGTATAATTTTTTGTCTTATCTCAATTCTATATTTAATAATATATTGGAATACAAAAAATATGAAAAGTTTATCACTAATTGTTTNTCGTAATTTAAGTAAGAAAATATTTAAAAATTTCACAAAGAATGATGTCCTTTCTTTTTTCATTTCATATTTTTTTAATTTTAGCACTCAAAAATTGAAATGAAATTAATTTATTTATTTACATTATGGCAATATAAAAGGGGTTAATAATATTCGATTTTTATTATAGTTATTTTCGTTTTACTCTATACAGACAATTCAGTAGTCTATACCAAGTAAGTATTTTTAATTAAATATACCTTAAAAATTTTAGTAGTATTATATTTTTAAAGATATTAGCATTTAAGGTGGTTACAAGGTGAGTGACAGGATAGAGATTAACTATTATATAAGAAATCAATTATACGCTTAAAATAGACGAATATTGAACATAAAAAATAAATTTTATTAAAACTTATGTAATTGGGCTAGTTTTATTTAATTTATAATTTAAATGTTATGTTGCAGATAAATCAAAATGAAATTCTTTAACGTTCTTCTTTTCGTATGTTTCGTAATAAGCATGCTTTCGTTTTCAAATGGATTGGCCGATGGTGGTAAGACGTTACCATTAATTAATAATAATTTTAATTTATATAAATTAAATATAAAATTTTTCCTCGTAAGCGCTATTTGAACTAATATGTCTAGGAGGTTTAAATTGCCATATAGCAAATTCTCATCTATTTCAAAAATTAGTTTAATTATTTATGTACGATACACTTTTTTGATAACTAATGTTAAAAAAAATATTATTAAATATTGATAACTTCTTTGGTAGTACAATTTAACAATTTTTCAGAAATTATTATAATTTTGGTTAGAAAATATTAGCTTCGATGCGAAGCTGAGTGGGAATTAATTTTACTATGATGTGTTTTATATCTTGTTTTTACAAACTTAGATATCAAATTGTATTTATCTATGAAAAAGATAATATATCTTTTTACGACAAAGATTTTATTACTCAGCTATTTTCAAAATTTGTATAAATTATAAAACGTTTTTGATGTATATATTTTTTTATTTAATAATTGGATAATTAAGCATTAGTGGTATAAGGTAAATCAAAGATATTATCAAGTTTCATACAATTTAAAGAATTTGTCGAAAAAATGTACATAAAATATTATTATTTCATAATATCTCACTGTAAATTAAAATAGATAAAATATATATATATAATATATATATTTTTTAATAAAACCTATAACTAACATTACTTTATTTGAT